CAAAGACGTGCTCAGAAATAGATACATATTTACATCAGTGGTTCTCTTTTTTTGGCCATGTTCTACCAAAGCATCTCTAAAATCCTGATGCACCCCCTCCCCGTGACATATAATTCTTATTATTCAAAGAGTGAACTCCCATTTACATGGAGGAAACCTAAAAGGTCATTAACTTAACTATCCATAAGAACTTGAGACAGCATATATGCAATATTATCAATTAATTTTAGAATTTTACAATCTTTATAAAAATATTGTGTTACTTTATATATATATATATATATATATATATATATATAGTACCTGTCCTCGTTTATGGTAATGTATGTTGGACGGTCTTCTCAATGATGAAAAAGAGACTCTAGGCAACAGTTGTGTGGTTCTACAGAAGGAGGCTAAGGATGTCATGACCCGAACATGTGAGCAACAATGAGGTTTTACAGAAGATGCAAACAAAGAGGAAATTTATACTTAACATCCGAAAGAGGCAGCTGAAATTTCTGGGACACATAATGAGAAAGGAGTGCTTAGAAAATCTGATACTCACAGGGTAGATAGAGGGAAAGAGGAACAAGAGAAAGCAATCAGTGATATACTTAATGGGCTGAAGCAAGTGAATGGCAGAACAAGGGTCTGGAAAAATAACAAAAAGACAAAATTTATTGAGAGCTACAAGGGACAAGAAGAGGTGGAGAGCTATGATCGACTATGTCCTGAAAGGAAATGGCACATGAAAGATGAAGACATATAATTACACATGTACATACACACAAATATTTTTATATATGCATACTGCATATATTTTTCATATAATCGGAATTAAGTTACCATTATGTAAATGATCATTTTCACCTTGTAAAATTAAATTTACAGGATTTTTCAAACAGTCAGTGAATGATAAATTTTATCATCCATTGACTGTTTGAAAAATCCTGGTAATGGTATCATAATTCTGATTGTATGAAATATATTGCTCTGTTTATTATAAAAATATTGAGCTGTATGTGTGAATCAGTTTTAATATTTTATATTGACTTAATAGGATTCACTTGGATTGTATACCAACAGATTTATATATATAAATGTGCACACACACACTCATACTCACACAGACTCACAAGAAAAAAAATTCACTGTTAATAACTCATTCTTGAATTGCCCCCCTTAAAATTGAAATTGCCCCCTATGGTGCATGCACCCCATTTTGGGAACCATGTATGTACAGATATACAATTAGGTACTGAAAAGTTCTTGACCCAATCTACTTCTCAAAATCTGACTAAATGATCCAATATCTTTTTTGGAAGGGCTTTTTGGTTGAGCTGAGAACTTTTCAATGTCCCCCTAACCTCATACACTAACAAATACATACATTAGACACTGATAGACATACATATACACAAACACGCACAAATGTAGCAGATGAAATAGTGGTCAAATGACAATTATCCACAAGTCCTTATTGCAAAAGGAGATTGAAGCCGGAAGATGAATTAATTCCCTTCAGCCTCAAATTCTAATGCAAAGTCATGAAACTGCACATTCCATCAAAACAAGCTTACAAATTGCAGGCAAATTAGAAGAAACCATTTTGGATTAGGCAGAGTGTTGAAAGAACACAAAGTGTGAAAATGGAATCAGCTTTTTGGGAAGAATTGTTTTTTTCTTAATTAAAACTCTGTTGCAAGATGAAAAACAGAGTAGCAGTTCTGGTGAAGAAATCGAATCTTATGCTAAATGAGGAATGTGAATATATCTGTGTGTGTGTGTGTGTGTGTGTGTGTGCATGTATTTGAGAGGAAAGGGGGAAGGGCAGGAGATGTGTCATATTTCTTCATCAAAATGGCTCAGGTAGTCAAAGAAGAAATAGCCTCAACAAGATAACCTTAATCCACACAATAATTGCATTCAAATTACATAGGATCTGCAAATGGGGGAAAAGTTGTTCTGTTAATCACAGGGGCTTTGGAGAAAAGATAAAACTGTAAAGCAATCATTGGAGGAGACAGACAACATTGGAGAACATTTCATTGACCGACCATCTTGTACAAATATTACCAATTACTTCAGTACAGGCTTTGTGTCTTTTTGTGTTTTTGCAGGTGGAGGTGGGAGAGCAGACCGAGATAAGCAGGAATAAAATTCCTTTTAACCCAAAGAAAAAAAAAGACAAATAAAATTATAACCACAACAACTAAAAGAAACTAACAAATATTTTTAAAAATTTTGGTTGAAAAATGGCTAAAAAAGCAAGTCACCAAATTTTTAATGATTTTGCTAGTATAATTGTTCCTCTGAATACTGATTTTACAAGTCCTTGTTTTGGATATTGAAGATGTCCAAAGTGCCGCCCAAATTTTTAGGAAATGATTATGAAAAAAAAAATTAGAAAAGAAAAAAATGATATATTCTAAAACTTAGACATTACCATTTCTTATAATATATATATATTTATATATAGGGTGAAGGTAATTATGGCTTTTATCTTCCAACTTTTTGTTGCTTTTTTTATCACCTTTCTGTTTTGGTGGATCTTTATCATCCTTTTACTGAAACTTATCAAATAGGTTACTGTCAGTTTTCCACTGCTTTTCTTGTCTTCAGTTTACTCTAGTCCTGCTATGAAGATAAACTACATCCATCAGCAAGGCCTCTGATTGCAATATTGAAAATTTTTGTTTCAGATGTTATGTACCACTTGCCATACCATGGTTTTTGAGTCAGTATCATCACTCATCATTATTCATTTTCTTTTTATTTTCTTCTTTCTCCCTTCTTTGCATGTTTACCCTTAATTGTTATGAGAACAATCTGTTACCTGTTAAATGTTTCCCTCAAATTTAAAACACAATTGCCTTCTTTTTCTATATAGATTTAAAAACCAAAAAACTTTCAGTAATACAAAAAATTCTTGGAATGAAATTGAAAAAGAAATTCTAAAATACTTAACTATTTTTCCCTACAAAAGACACAAGCGAACAAAACTGTAATCATCCGACTTTTCCCAGAAATTTAAATAGAGAAAGATAAACTGTTTAAGAGCATGGTTTTTTAACATCCCTCATACCATAACAAATTTATAAAAATATTTTTTTTAACCCTAGAACACTAACCATCAATTAAAGTTACACCACTAGTAACCATGGGTATATCATACCCAATTTTGAAAATATCAAAAAAAAAATATTAAATATAAATCTTTATTTGAAATATTTTACATGCAAGCACTTCAAACTTTGTACTTTAAGTTAACATTACTAGGAACTGAAAAACATTATTTAGGTAAGAAAATCAGGTACTGAAAATTGTAATTAAAAATAGGAAAATTTGTGCTGGGTACTATATACCCATGGTTATGTTTTCTAGGTTTAATATGGTAATGAATGCTGAACAATTTCTTCACAAATGAGACTTGAAGTAACAGATATTTGGTTCTACAGAAGGATGCTGAGAATACAATTGACAGAACATGTAAGCAATGACAAAGTTTCATAGAAAATGGAAACAACAAGAGCACTTATAATTAGAACCAGGAAGAGGCAGTTGAAAATTCTGGGACACATTGTGAGGTAAGACAACTCAGAGAATTTGACACTGACAGGACATTTTGAAGGCAAGAAGGATATAGGGAAACATTGAGTAACATACCTAGAACAGGGACTGGGAGAGATAGTAAGGAGACAGACATTGCTTAGAACTAAAAAGAATAAGAAGTTGTGGAGAGCCATGATCAACTACGTCCTGAATGGTACAAGCTACATGGAAGAAGAATACTTCCAAGAATCTATTTATTTGATTGATTGAATGAAAAGAAAAAAATAATTGGGAATAAAAAATAGGAACGCATATGAACGCACTGAAAAACTCTCAACAAAACATTGTTTTAAAATAAAGCAAATGATGAAAAAATTCAATACTTACAGAATGAGATGAAATTGGAGAAAAAGATAAAATTGCAACACTTACCTGAAAAAAATAAAAATGATAATTATCAGGAGGAAAGGCATTCAACAAAAGCAGAATAGATAAGTGGATATGATAAAATAACAAAAAAACAACCCAACATAACAAGGCTATGGTGGTTTTCTAAGCATAACTTAGATGTGGCACAAGGTTGAAAGTGTGGAGCACTCAGTGAGGATCAAACTCACTACTCAGTCATAATTGATCTAGTGTGGCAATCTTGCTAACCGTTACACCATGTTGACGTACCCAAAAGCGTAGCTCAGATGTGGCACAAGGTCGAAAGGATAGTGACATCCAATGAAGATCTATCACACTATATAGTCATAATTAATCTAGAAAGACAAGCTTGCTGAACATTACACCATGCCAAATGTTGAGAAGATGAGTTAGTATCATTGCATGACTTGATTACACTCTTGAACCGAAAACTGCTGGTGCTTTTGTTGCTACCAGAATATTCTGTCCAATCAATTCTACAACTAGGTGGAAAATCACGTTTTTTGTCATTATTTTTTTACCTGTTTACCAATTTTATGCAAACTGAGATCTCTCTCTCTCTCTGACCATAAGCTGATTTTATAAGTGTAGCTTAGATGGAGCACCCAGTGAGGATTGAACTCATTACTCAGTTGTAATTGTTCTAATAAGACAAACTTGCTAATCAACATGTCAAAATGCCCAATTGATTTTCTAGGCATAGCTTAGATGTGGCACAAGGCCGAAAGTGTGGAGCAATCAGGGAGGATCAAACTCACTACTCAGTCACAATTGATCTAGTGAGGCAAGCTTGCTAACCATTACACCATGTTGAAGTACCCAAAAAACAAGGCTATATATTCCAAGAGTTGTTAAAATTACTGAAGTCATTATTATTAATTTTTGATTAGCATTTACTGTCATCTTAATTGTATTAAAAAGGAACTAAAGATTAAGTTGAAAGTAAATACTCGTCAAAAACTAACAATAAAAATTTACAAAATTCTAAAAAATAGAAATAATATTGGTATTGTTTTTATGGGATTATGTCTATATCACATTAAAACACAGGTTCTCATTCGATCACCGTAGTTAAGCAACATTGAGCTTGGTCCATACCTAGAAGGGTGACCACTTTGGAACACCAGGTGCTGTAAGTTTGGATGTGTGGATGCTATAATGGCTTGAAATGAGAAATTCGAGAGCCAAGTTCTAATTCCAGTTGGGTTCGTTATATTCACTTACATGCAAATACCCTGCGTTAATGTATGAATCCACCTCTTCTCCCCAAGCTTAATCTAATATTCACTAACAAAAAAAAAAAAAAGAATCATTCAATCAAAAAATATGTTTTAGCTTTTAAGAATTGACAAAAGATTGATAAACCATAACAAAAACAAAAAACAGATAAGTAAATAAAATATTGTTTTCACACTATATGTGGCTTTTATTGTTATCACAATGTTCAACCAATCCATTTAAACTCTTCTGAAAATCACAGACAGAAAAAGCTATATGTGCTTATACTCAGGGGTATGGGTTAAATATTCAGGTATACTAGGCTCTATAGACTTGGGTGGCATTCAATCAATGAAAAACACTATTCTGAATTCAAAACTACAGAGAAAGTTTGGTTTGGTTTGTTTAATGGCATATCAACCTCAATGGGTTATTTAATGTGACATTTTTAGGATAGATTCGTATGAATAGAGTATCTATTCTTTGGTTTAGATTGGTTTGGTTTATTTTGTTTAATGGTATATCAACCTCAATGGGTTATTTAATGCTGACAAAATTTTTATTGCTGGTAATATTTTGTTTTGTCAAAAATCTATTTCTGGCAATATTTTTTCCTCAAAAATGTATAGCTGGTAATATTTTTTTTTCAAAAATGTATTGCTAGTAATATTTATTTTTTAAAAACATTGTTGGTAATATTTTTTCAAAAATGTACTGAAGGTAATAGTTTTTTTTTTTCTTCAAAAATTTATTGCTGGTAATAATTTTTTTTACAAAGTATTTCTGCTATTAAAACCTATTTTTAAACTTTCATAGTGTTTTTACCCCAGTTTAGGGGTTAACTATTTAGCTGGGACACTCTAACAGGTGCTACCACTCTAGGTCAGGATGGACCTGGGAACATCAGCAATTAAGATGTGGTTCCAAAATCTTCAAAACCTCCTGATCAGAGGCCTTGCTGCTGGATGTAGTTTATTGTCTTAGCCAGGACACGGATGTAGTTTATTGTCATGCCCAAGACGAATAGACAAAGTAAAGTGAAACAATTCTATTACCATTTCTAAGAAGTCATAGCAATTCACAGATAATAAAAGAATAACTTATGTAATATCAGTCCTCCAATGAATGCTGGACAATGGTTCCTTATGGGTCATTTGATGCTGAAATTTAATCTTTTGGGAGTTTTGAAGTAATAAAAATATGATATATGTTATTCAGCTTTCACATGGTAGATGATATACTTTTGTGCATATACTGTATATACTCATGTAACATGCAATATTTACTTTAAATACAGCTGTACTTTTTGTCTATAGTTAATTGTATATATAGTTTGGTCAATGGCATAGCCAGGGTCAGCAGTATATACACTAATTTTATATCTCATCTATGATGTGACTCCACCTTAAAATTTGCTTCAAAATCAGGCCTTCAAAAGTTGCATGATATCCAAGTATAAATGGTACATATTTGTGTGTACATGATTACTAAAAGCAGTGATATGTATGTTTATGTTATAGTTTTGTTGGAGTTATATTTTTGAATACATTTTGACTTCTTTAAGAAATTGTATGGCAGCAAATGCTGGACAATCTCCTCAAAGATGAAGAGACTTAAAGCAACAGAAATGTGGTTCTACAGAAGGATGCTGAGAATACCATAGGCTAAACATCTGAGCAACAACAAAGTTTTAGAGAAAATGGAAACAAAAAGGAAACATACTTAACATCAGGACGAGGCAGCTGAAATTTCTAGGGCATATGAGGAAAGAGGGCTTGAAAAATTTGATACTCACAGGGCAGATTAAAGGCAAGAGAAAGGAAAACAATGCATAACCTACCTAACAAGCTTGAGTAAGTGGATGGTAGAACAAGGTTTCGGAGAGATAACAAAAAGGCAAAATTTATTAAGAGTTACAAAGGATAAGAAATTGTGGAGAGCCATGATTGCCAAAGCCCTTAAGGGATACAGCATATAGAAGAAGAAGAATAGAAGTTTCTTTGTGAACTGCTAACAACATTGAGTGGTTGATCCTATTCCAAGAATAAGAATCAAGTGTTGATTTTTGACAGGTACTGATCGAATTATTACTATTTCTTACGTTATCTCACAGGTGGCTTATATTTTAGAGGATAGTAGTAATATAATTAAAATTTTATGGTAAACATTCAATTTTTTCTAAACACATTCTTGTTCTTCTCATCCCGCTGAGGTCAACATCCATTGTTTGGTTTCCCTAAATGTACACACAAGTAATGCCTCCTATTTTATTGCGTCAAGTTTATTACCTAACTTGCAATGCTAATATTTGTATCACTTAGTCAGGAAAATCAGCACAAAATGCAAGATGGTGGTATAGTAATCTCTAATTAATAACCCATACTTTTTGTCTTGTTATAAATAACAACTGACCAGTAGTGTGGTAAATTGGCATCTGACATGAAAGTTTGGTTTGTCAGGGAATTCTTCTTCTACACCCTGAAGTAATGACATTAATAAAAGACAATCTTTTAATATTATATATTTTTTTCTTAATTAAATTTAATTCTAAATTTTGTTTTTTACAGGTTATAAGAAAATGATTTGATCATTTTTTTATGGCTTATCAACCTTTTGCAGGTTGCTCAAAGCCAGAATATATTTCTAGATTGTAAGAATTTTTGAGATAATATTGAATTAGTGATAATTAACCTATAGCTGGGAGAAGAAGAAATGGATTTAAATCTTTTCCAAAGGTATTTGCATGTAAGTGAATATAATTTGTTATATTCACTTGGGAATTGGAACTTTGCTCTCTGTAATAATTATACCATCCAAGCCTACAGCACCTGATATTCCCATCTAGGTAGTGACTAGGCTCAATGTAGCTTAACTTTGGTGATTGTACAGGAACTGGTGTTTCAACATGTTTTGGCCATAAGCCATTTTGAAAATGACTAAATTGGACTGTAAATATAAATTTAGTTTCAGTTTTCCATTGCATAAAAATCCTTGTTTATTTAAAAAAAAAAAAAAAAAAAAATAAATAAATATAAAAATAAACATATTGGTTGCTATATAAAAAAATATAAGTTCACCAAAAATTACTCTTTGTCTAATACCTTGGGAAAGGCATGAAATCATCTGTTGTCCCTCTAGCTATTAGTTAAATAACAAAGTAGACAGTACTCTATAAACCTGGTTAGTAGCTAGTCATGAGGAAGAATTACTTGGAATTCAAAACCATTCTGAAATTAACAGAAAACTATTCCACTATCTTTCCCAAGAAGTCATGGGAATTCACAGATAATAAAGAAGAGGAATCTTTGTAGAACCATAATTGTGTCTCTGTCCTGAAGAGACATGACATTAAAAAAAAAAAAAAAAAAGAAAAAGAAAATTACATTTATTTGGAAATTTCTCTAAATATCAACATATTGACATCTGTGTAAACATGGATATTATCTTTGATAAATACATGGTTAGATAGGAAATGGAAAGATATGATCAATTCTTGACAGTGAGTGAAGCCTTTTTTAAATTTTAATGATGACTGTCAGTTTTCGTCTTATGGAAAGAATTTAGCATTTCAAAATGGCTGCACACAAAAATAAGCAAGAAAATTTACATTTCACTAAATGTAGCAATCTTTATTTTTTTTACTTCAAAATTGTCCTCATTTACCATTTAGAAGAAAAAATGAAAAAGGTGTGTGAGAGGGGGGGGTCAATATTTCTATCAAAGCAATAAACTTAAACTACTTTTGCTTTGTTTATTGTAAATGCACCCATTATTCAAGGAATTTACCTCCAAATTTTGTTCACCAGTCACCCTGGCATCCTATTTTTCTATCAACCTTAACCAGAAATTCACTGATTGATTTGTTTGTTTAATGGCATATCAACTCCATATGGGTCATTTAGTGCTGAAATTTAATTGAAACATTTTGAACATAATTTTATGTCTTCAACTTGAGTTAAAATGTACTGTTGGTTATTTTGCTTTAAAATTGTATGGTTGGCATTTCTTTCATATAAAATGTATTGCTGCTATTTTTTTTTATACAAATAAGTATTGTTGCTAATTTTTATTATAAATATGTATTTTTATACTTTCATAGTGTTATGTTTTTGTTTAGGAGTTCATTATTTTCCCATAACAGGTGTTACCCCCCTGCGTCAGGATGTACCTGGGAACAGCAACAATTAAGAGGTGGTTCCACACTCATCAAAACATCCAATCTCCCAATCACAGGCCTTGTTGCTGGATATTGTTTAGCTTGTAATTGCAATAAAACCAAAATATTAACTTGAAACTTAGTCATTTTCTTAAATAGCCTCACCAGATTCAGACTTACATATGGATGTCATACATGGCTCCAAAATTGTTCAGAAATATCTAAACTGTCAGCTCTAGACAACTTTTTTCTAAGATCAATGGTTAAAAATGGCTGAGTTTAGTGAAACCTATGAATCTTGGTGAAGACCAACATTCTTGGAACATTGTAGGCTGGAGTTACAGAATCGCAAACATAGAACTGTACCAAATAACAGAAACAACAAGACTTGAGGACTTTCAACAGCAATAATGGCTAAAATTGATATCAAGAGAAGAGGCTAAGAGAAAATAACAATATAATTAAGATGTTGACATTTCACACTACTTCAAATAAAAGGTTCAGAAGGAAACCTCTGTCAATACTGGGAAGAGTGATAACAGCTATTGGAGGAAGGTATTTTCCTGAAAAAGAGATTTTATAAATTTCAACAAAAAAACAGCACTGGCTGCTCAGTCAATGAATGCTGAATGTTTCCTTATAAAGAAACGACTAATATCACCATTAATCTCCAGCATATTCAAAATCAGCAATTTTAGATGTTGAATGACCTTAATGTTTACCCTTCCAATTATTAATCTTGTTCGGGTCAGAACAATTAAA